TAAACAATGGTCTTAGAATGGCTTTCGATATCGAACCGAGATTGAGGTGTATAGGTTTTAAAATAATAGGTCCAAGAACGGCTTTATATTCTGGCCAAATATTTATTTCTATGTAGAACCTTTATAGGTTTACAATATACAGCCACTATTGGGATATCTTGATTTTTTAATATTGGTCCTCGAATGGTTTTGAACATAGGACCAATATTAATTTCTCTATAGGACCCTTGTAGGCTACGAAACAGAGGCTGTAGTGTAGCTACCATTACAACTATTAAATTCAAGTTCACTAGTATATAAAATATGTTAACTTATTTTATATCTCGGGGTACCTCTTGATAAATGAAGGTTGACATTGTCGGTAGTCTAGCACCCCAAGGGCCGCTTGCAGGCACACTTGCCTCGACGAACTCTCTAAATAGGTGACTTTCGTACGTCATCTAAGCACGCCTCTCTCGACAGAAACGTCCACCTCGATATGAACACAGTAAACAATTGACTTGCGATTTGTAACTGTGACCTCGTGGTGTTGCTACTCAGATTAGATTAGACACAACGTGGTCCTTTAGTCTAGCTCCACATAGGCGACTCGCAGGCGTGATCTGAGCACGCTTGCCTCAACTAACACTCTACAAGCCAATATTAGGGTGTCTATATTTTGTAATATTGGTTCTAGAATGGCTTTCAATAATTTACCGATATTATTTTCTATGTAGGACCCTTATAGACTTGTAATGTTGGGTAAAAATTTGGGTGTCTAGATTTTTCAATATTGGTCCTAGATAGAAATGAATCTTGTTTTAATATTGAAAGTCATTCTAGGTCCAATATCAAAAAATTTAGACATCCCAATATAGGTCCCTCACTGCATGCTCTTATGGGACCCATATTAGCCAATTTTGAGTTCAACTGGGGCCAATTAAAATTGTTGCTAGGGGTATTGGTTGTTGTTGTTGTTCATTTACGTCACACTAGAGCTGCACAATGGGCTATTGGCGAGGGTCTGGGAAACATCCCTGAGGATGATCCGAAGACATGCCATCATAATTTTGATCCTCTGCAGAGGGGATTGCACCCCCGCTTCGGTATCCCGACGACCTGAGCGCGAAGTCGAGCACTTGACGGTTGAACAGTTTAACGAGGACCAATACCGCACACCCTCGGTCCCTACGCAGGCTGGTCCAAGTGGTCACCCACCCGCACACTGATCGTAGCCATCTCACCTTAACGATCAGTCCACTGCGGGACTAGGGGTATTGGAGGAATCGTTTTTTGACGCGTCTATTTTGCTTGGTTTAGTTGAAAGTCCGTTTGGTTTTGTCGTGCATGATGGTTAACCTTTTCTTGTTCCCTCTATTTTTAAAAATCCTAATTTCTGGTACGGTCTGAATAATCAAATTGATAAATATGTCATAGCAATCCAATTCTGTATGATTTGATAACTCTTACAATGATTGATTATTTTCTGTAAGTACTCCAAAAAATTGAAAGGAAAGTTTTTCTTTCATATAATTGTATAATTTATTTTCTTCTAACTTATTTAATGTAGAGATTTCATAATTTCACAGCCATATAAGATTATTGGTCTAATCTGATTTATATATTCCATGGATATTTATTTTAGTACTTAAGGAAATAAATCCTAACTGAAATGGACTTTTTAGACCAATATTTATTTGTTATTAAAAACCTATTATTTAATTCTCACTCACTAATATATTTATTTTATTTTATAACCATCGTTGAACAGCCAACCCAATTTTTGAGTTTAAGACAACTAATATTCAAGTCCATAGTCTTGTAATTTTGAACCCTATCCGAAATACAAGGGAACTCCTGGATCAAGTATTGGGAGAAATTTGCCTCTGTGGAGGACTTTTTGATGGAATTAACCGGCATTTGCTTTACATGGAGAGGAAAAACACGCGAACCTCCCACGGCTAGTTTGACGGCAAGGAGTCTCTAACCCATGATCCCCTACTAAGGAGGATATTTTACATCAGCAATGTAGTCGGTGCCAGCCGGGCGCGGAATTCGAATCCAAACGATGGCTAGGATTCACCTCATTGACAGGTGAAGGCTCTATCCCCATAGCCATCATGGCTCAGATCAATATCTTTATTGTTGCTATCAATTGTCAAGGGTTGTACTACTTAGTTGCTGAAATTCACCACCATGAATTTAGTTTTTTTTTAAATTTACTACCAGGCCCATATATTTGGCAATATTCTCAAGGGTAGTAAATGGTTTTACTAGAGCTTACTGAGGTATCTCCAAGATATCAATATCATTTGCATATGCTAATAACTTAAAGAGATTTGAAATTTTTAAGTTATCTAAGCAACAATTTTTAAAATCAGATTGTAGTTTTTTTTGTAATAATATAATTATAGAGTTTTTTTTAAATCTTATTGAGGGTGCATAGCATTTTTAAAAAGTGCTTAATGGTGCTTATTTTCATTTTATCAAAGCGCTTAAAGGTGCTTTTTTTCATTCTGTGTTTTTAAAAAGTGCTTAATTTTTCCCATTCCAAAATGAGATATTTTTTCGTTACCATGTTGATTTTCGCCACAAATTATGCAGAAAGCTATTCAAAATTTTAACGATTCGTTTTACCCCAAATCTATTTCGTACCGTTTCTATACCGTGGGTTCGTATGAAAACGCCAATTGTTTTACGTGTTTGATTCAATACTTTCTTGTCCACATTTGCGTATATAGAGCTGGATTCAGTGGGAAGGATTCTTGCCCACTCATGTGCAACTACACTGCATTTTGCAAGAGATTCTCACTTTCGGGATTTATTTTCCGCCCTCTGAAATCGATTTGAAAAATCTCTCTGCATTTTCGCTGATAGCGGGAACCAACTAAAAACATTGTCAAATCCCCCCCCCCCCNAATCCCCCCCCCCCCAATAACGATATTTTTTTTTATTTCTCTTGTTAATTTCATCGCTGGTAAAGCGCCATCGTCTTCGTCACTGGCAAGCTAATAGCTTTCTGGCGACATCGTAGTTATAGATCAGTACCATAATCTTTGAACTAGATTTGGGGATCATTCACTAATTACGTATTTTCATGTGAGTCCCAAAAGCAATCAAGAATCTCACAGCTTCATAACCTCAAAATGTCCATCTTCCTTTTATTCATTAAACTTAAGAATTAATTGAGAATTTTGGGCGTAATATTTTCAACTAAGGGACCGTTCTCCAATTGCAAAAAATTTTTTAAAACTTTTATTGTACTTCATTACTCTTTTTCATATTTTTTTTTACTTTTTGCTTTTTATTAATAATTGTATTATTAATTTTAAAATTTTCAGTTTTCTTGAGTTGTTTTATGAGATAACTCAATAATATTTAGAGGTAAGGTACGATTTTAAAAGAGTATGAAATAAGGGGCTTTTGATATTTTAAATACAGCAAAAAATCTTTTGGTAAAAAATTCAGATTTGTCATTCTAAAAATCTTGAATTCATCTCTTAATGATTTATTTAAAAACAAAATAAAAAATTCAATTTCCTTAAAATTTGTTAAATATTATGTGCACAGGGGCCGTATAATTACTTCTGACAAACATGTTTAGCTTTAACACTTATTGTATTTACATTTCACAATTATTTTCATTTCTTTAATCATTTCAGTAAAGAAACCCTGAATCAAGTAACAAATAATGATAAACGTTTATAGGAACTATTCACTAATTTGCATTTGTATTATGAATTTATTAGATTTTTCTTAGTTTGCTTAATTCTTTACATATCTTTATAAATTCAGTATGATCAATAATATTAATCTTGTTAATGCTTTGTCGAATATGCTTTTATAAATAACTTTTATTTAAATCAAAAAAATACACTTGATAAGCTTTTTAAATAATAGTTAAATTAATTATGGTTTTAAATAATATTTTTTACGTAATTAAATAAAGTAATTATTAAATTAAAAAATAAAATCAGCCACTCAATATTGAATATATTTTAAATTTTGTATAAATTTTTTTATGGTGGCTAATATAATTAAGAAAAGAGTTCTTTGTCTGAAGCTAGTTACTTTATTATGATCATGTAAAGTCTTTTGAAATTATTTTGCATTTTGTTAATGTATTTATGAAGAACTCTCAAAAATAGGAGGAAGAAATTTTTTTTATTACAGTGCATATCCTAATTATAGGGTTGGGATTTTGGCATCAAAAACCTGTTAAAAAGTGTAAAGAAAAAAGTCAAAATCTGACAAAAACTGTCAAAAACCTGGAACAAGTTTCTTTATTAGCATTGTGGACATTTTATTAGATATTAAATTATGCACAATACTTGCATTATATACTATTATAATTAGGATCTATACTATTTATATAAAATGCAACCAAAATCATTGAAATAATTAATGAGTTTTTCCAGAAATCTCCCTAGGAATGAAAAAGGCAAGGCACTTCCTCTTTGAAAAGGGCACTTTGAGTTTAGAAAGGGCACTCACTTAACATTGTAAAAATTTATCAAAATGTATAATATTATGTAATAACTGAATTTTATGAATAACAAACATTTATGAATAACAAAAACTTGCCAACTTTACCTAATTATGATACTTTTTTAAAGTGCTTAAAAATATTTTTTAGTGCTTGAAAAGTGCTTAAAAGGTGCTTATTTTTTGTTGAAAAATTTGGCTGCACACCATGCTATTTCTTAAGCTTAGGAAAATTAGTTGTAAAAGTTGATTGCTTATAATTATTATCAAAAGCGAATCAAATTATGGTTATATGATTAAAATTGTTACATCTAAAATTTTAGAAAACATATTTTTCTCGTGATTGTTTTATCCTAGGTCACTGTCAAAACCTTGTCAAAACCACCTATTTAACTGTCAAAAACCTTCCAATTCTTTTAATCTATTGATCTTTTGAGAGTAAAATTATTTCAGCCATTTCTTGATTTTTGTAAAATAAATACTTTATGTAATTCTATAATATTTGCATATCTTAATTGTTATTATTTTTTTTGTAGAGAAGTGTATGACAGTTGATTATTACTGTGAGAAAGAAAGAGACAATGTATCTGGAAGGTATAGCTATAATATCTGCATGTTTTTTTTGTGTGCATGCGTAAGCTTTTTAAAAATATTGTTTCACACGTTCTAAGTTTCCACCCTCAAAAGCCAAACTTTCTTAAATAGCACTATAAATGTGCCTTAAAATTGAAAGTCACTGTTTTTCAATTTATTTATTTTAATTTCTTACAGAAAACTTATTTAACATAGCAGCAAGTAACAAATTAAAAAAAAGGTATTTTCAGTTTTTTTTATTTTATAGTATAATTTTTTTTAATAATATAATCAGGGGTGTAATCAGGTCTAAATGTTCCAGTTTGACATTCTGGAACTTTTATTAAGACCTGGAGTGCCATTCTGAAATGTAATTTTTTCTCTTTAAAAATCAAGTTCTTGTGCTCTTAGAAACATATATTACAATTCAATTCTTCTTTATTTTATTTGCCGTAATGTGTGTATAATGAGGAAACTCACTGGGAGTTTTAACAATTTCCTTCTTTACTGCTTCCAAGTATTAATACTTTTTTATACTACTGTAGTTCAAGCCAAACCTTCCACCACCTGTTATCATAAAACTGTTATGAAGGGTAATTTTTCTCCTTTCTAGTTCTAGATAGGTGGGTGTTTTAGGAGATAAAAAAATTTTTTTTTTTATACTGGAAGCACTGCTTGTGGGCTGAAATAGTGAGCAAGATAAAACTTTTTCAAGATAATAAATTTTTGTTGTTGTTTATTTAGGGGAACTGTATAGGTTAATAACATTTTTATGTTTTTATGAAAGAAGTTAAACTACTCTCTAATTTATACCGAAATAAGGGAAACTATTAAGTTTTTTACTTTTATATTTTCAATATAAAAACATGAAATAGGAGTTATACAGTACACTTATTTATGAAGAGGTTAGTGGAAGAATAGGATATGTGAAATTTTAGTGAATTTGAGTAAATTATCTCTAAAGTTTATGCATTTCTCTTTTTTGTTACTTTGCTCAATCTTTATATTTTAGTATATTTGTGAAGATAACTCATAAAATGTTTAGGGGTCTATTTCCTTGATTCTTTATAATAAAGAAGGATCTTAATGAGTTTTGTGTAGCATTTTCTTGTTTTTATGGAGGATTTTTAATGTTTTTCGATTAATATAATTTTGTTTGAAAAGATAAAATGGATATACATTTATTTAAGCTTTTCTTCACAAAATAAAATTTTAGCAACCTTTATTCAGAACAATTTGGTGTTAAAATTTATCTAGTCTTGTTAGTCCAAAAACGGATTCAGAGGCAATGAGAGCTGAACATTCACAGAGGGGATGTTTTTGCGATATGTATTGTTTTAACTGTCAAGAATTCAGTAATTTTTTATTTTAAAAAAGCATCATATATATTTTAAATAGTGCTGATTGTGGTCAAAATGTTTTGAAATTTTGTTACATCTTAGTGTATGTCTGAAATTGAATAGAAGTGTTTTTATTAGTTTTAATACCAAAAGTATATAGGTATAGTTGTTAAAACACATAAATTACTTTCAATTTTTCAATAAAAATTTACAATTTCATGGCAAAAATGTCAGCTTAATTTAAAGAAATTTTATAAAACAGTTTTGGGTATTTTTCTATTATGGTTAGCTTCCCTGATCACGATTAGTTGGGGGACTCTAATTTTTTTCAACATTTAGATTAGCACTTTACAAATTGCTGCTGAACACCTATTCACTCAGTGGATATGCAGCTTTTTTTCACATTCAACGTTTAACAAGCATGTGATAGCCATTGAGAGTATCTTCGAAATTAATAGATTTAGAAATATAAATGATTTATATATTTAAATAAGACTAAAATAAAAACTTTCCCCAAGAAATCTAATTTTTTTTTAAAAAAAAAGTCACATCCAGTTTTTCTGTTGAGCTCTTCTTATAGAAAAGTAATCCTGATCCGTCTGATTGGAATTTGGTGGAAATTTGCACTGATGTCTGTGAGACTAGTCCCTCTGGTTTAGAACCTCAATCCCACTGGATCAAAGTTTAGAAACTAAATTCTTCTCTTTTAAAATGAAGGTCATTTATTGATGTCTGGATCGCATAATTTACCCTTTTCCCATTCCTTTACATATATTGCTTTTTTCTTCAAAGATATATGGTAAGGTGTAGCCTGCATGTAACAAAAAGAGGTTCATGAGTTTTTGCCCAAGTTTTTTTTAGCAGGATTAAAACAATTTTAAAAGCATTGCAGCCATTTAGAATAGTTGTCAAAAGGCTAGAATAATTGTCAAAGTGACCAATTGTTAATTTGTTATTAACTCAAGCAATAATGAAGCTCCTGTTAAGCAAAATTGATAATCAGAAGACAGACAAGTGAAAGTTTGAAATTTGGATTTGAAACTAGCATTCTCTCACAGAAATGGACATTAGTATTTTGCTGCATCTGTGTAAGCACAGCAAGCTTCTTGATCTTGAAGCAAACTTCAACAGTGTTTTTAAATTTTTAAAGCACAACAAAGAGAATATTAAGGATCTCTATATGTTATTAGAGGACAGAAAATAACAGTACAGAGCTGCATTGTTGTTCTCTTGGAGTTCTATGCAAAGAAATGCTAAGATGAAAAAAATTGATTCTGTATAATTAACAAAGAAAAGTTTCTCAGAAGGAAGTGGATTGCAAGATAAAGTACTTGAAGCTATATGAAAATATTTATTATCAATAAATATTAAACTACAACCCTTTTCATTGAATGCTTTATTTGTCACTAAAATTTGATCTAGACTATTAGATGACTCATTGGATTTTATATGTTTTTCATGTTCTTACTTTTTAGCTTGAAAAAATAATCATTAGTGGGTGTTTAAGACCAATTTTTTTTAATTTTCTCAATATTGTCTTTATAAAATATTAAATGTCATATTTACAAGCTCTTTTCTTTTTATACTCTTTGCTCTATTGTCAGTTGTAATGTTTCAAATTAATTCTAAGTTTGAATGAAATGCTTAACTTTGACTGTCAGTTCCACAAGATTAGTAAATTTCATCCCACAATGCTGAAAACATTGCTGGTTAGCATTCCTTACTCATAAAGTAGTTAAATTTATTACCTTGGTCATAAAAAGGTGTTATTGGAATGATTTTATTAGACTTTAGGTATGAAAACAGAACTAATAACCCCATTTATTTTTATGTTTTAGAGTATGAAAATAATTTAAATGATTGTAAAGTAGAAGGGCATGCTGCTCAAGTGATTTCACCTACTGATGATCATTTATTTGAGCTCCAAGAAGAGGCTTTAGAATCTATTCTTTTAGCTGATAATGTTCGAGATAAGAAAGTTGTTGTGCTTTCAATTGCTGGAGCATTTAGAAAAGGGAAATCTTTCCTCTTGGATTTTTGCCTACGGTATTTAAATAACAAGGTATCTATTCTTCTTAACTATATTCTTTTATGTTTTAAAAATATCTTTTATTACTCTGGTTATCATAGATTAAAGTAAAATCACAAAAATGATCAGAACTCAAAAAGTTATGCATAGAATTTGATGAAACTGGCACACATTATAGTGCACATAATAATGTATGAAATAACATAAGACAGTTATGGTGTTTCCGAAATTAGCATATGTATGAAATGAATAAATCAGATGTGTCAGTTTGAAATAGGGAAAGTGCCTTCAGTATGGAGTATGATATAGCACAACTCGGAAGAAATGTAGCAACACATACAGTGACATGTCATACTTAAATTATGCAGTCTGCCAGTTCTGTTGAAAGTGTGAGCCATTGTTTTTGCAAAGCAGTTGCAAGGTCTGAGGATTGAGAGCAGCAACATACCTTCTTAAAACCTCCCAAACATATCTGATAGGAATCAAGTCTGGTGATCAAGCTGGCCTCTCCATGCGCTGATTTGTTTGCTAATGAAGTTAATCATTCACAATGTGAATCCTGTGCGGTGTTGTGTTATCATCCAGTAGCATGAAATCATCACCTATTGCACCAGCATAACAGCGCAAATCATTATTAAGAATGTCATCAGGCATTAACAGTTCCACTTGGAAAGGCATGCAGGTCTGTGCTTCCACCTAGAAAGATGTCTACCGAATGTTACTGAAATAAAATACAAATTTTAATAAATTCATCTCTTAATGGAAGGAATGTGAATACATATTGTAGATATTGGTTGTTCATGATATGCTCATTTGTACATGACTATTAATTAAATTTAATGAACATTCCTACATGTTCATTTAAATCTTAATTTATTTGAAATGAACAACAAATGCTTAAAGTTTATAATCTCTTTTCATTCATTTCCATTTCATTAACTATTTCTTTTATTAATCCCCTTGATAATTTTTAAATAATATTTTTTCAGTGTATACTATATCTTATTTTTAGTGTATATATATATGTGTATGCTTATAGTATGTATTAAAAAAAACTTACTTATCTCTAGGCGTTTTGATTATGATCAAAAAACCCACATGAGCAGGATTTCCCCCCTTAAAAACCTGTATTTATGCAAAACCTGTATCAAGCTCTCTCTAAACTTCTTTTTGTCACAATTCATTAGAAAGCTGTCTTTTTTTAATGATTTTCAGGTTGAAATATTAGCTCTTTGTTATATAGATTTCGTTGATTTCAAAAAATTAATTTATTAAAGCACCTGTTCACAACATTGTGCGAATTTACTATAGTTCAATTTTTTTTATAATCTCTACTAAGTTTTGTTTTTGAAACTTGTTTTTTCTTTCTTCAGGGAAACCCTGATTGGATAGGAGCTGAAGATGAACCTTTAACTGGATTTTCATGGCGTGGTGGTTGCGAAAGAGATACTACTGGAATCCTTATTTGGAGTAAAGTGTTTTTGACAAAGCTACCCAATGAGGAAGAGGTATAAATTTAGCACATATTTAGTTCAAGTTTTTGATCTGGTAGAAAAAAAAATTAGATTGCAATTTTTATTCTTTGTGAAGTTATATCAAAATTGCATTAATATAATATAAGATTTTTTAAGGGTAATTTTAAATATGATATATAATGTTGTAGATAAATAAGTAATGCACCTATTAAAAAACTGCCTTTATTGACATGCTGTAAGCATTTAAAATTATTAAGCACATTCATAATTTTTCTTCAACTATAAAACTGCATAATCCAAGAAAGGGTGGGTAAACTGTGTATCTACTCTGAGTTGAAAATGTTAGAGGTGGCAAAATTGACCATTAAGTATTTAAAGATATTTTTCTATTGCCTTTTTTGTAACTGTATTTAAAAGGATAGAAATAACTATTTTTAGAATATTTTGCAAGTTTAATAAATCCTGCACTCATTGTGTTTTCCCCGAAGTTTCAAGTGTTCAATCTTCCATTTCTATATTGTCACAGAGTTCTTTTTTTTTAAATTTAGAGCAGCATGTATTAAGAAATATACGGAAGTTCTCAAAATTTACCTTTTATGAGCCTCCATAGTGAACTAAAAAAATAAAATTTATCAGTCTAGAAGCTATTTGTATCACGGCCTTAAAAGATAATCTATGACTGAAAATTTATTACTTATTTTTATAATGAAATCCGATTTTTTTTATCAGATACATATTTTCTTGTGCAAAATATATAAAAAAAATTGTAGAATTTTTGGGTATGATGTGTTTAATAATGAAGTTTTAGTACATTACATTTATGCACTATTCGCATTTAAGAAAAAAGAAAGATTGTTTTCTTGGAAATAATAAATTTTATACCTTAGAATAATTTACACTTATCTTACATGAATCGAAATTTAAATATAAATTTAATTTTTTTTCTTTTCAGTGTTTATTCTTTATTACAGTGGCTTTTATTCCTCCACAATAGTTACACTTCTTTTTTCAGGAACCTCTAACATAACCTTTAATTTTGAAGTTTCCCATATGCATCCAAACACCTTTGTTCAAATGTTTTTCCCTGTTTTAATTTTTTTTTAGATAAAGCACACCACTTTTGGTTTTGGTTTTCAACTTTAACAGAACCTTTCAACACTTAATGCTATACATTTAAAACTTTTTATAATATNTATATATATATATATATATATATATACACACACACACAACACTCTATAGGTAGCATTTAATTTATGCAGCCAGCTCTGCCTGGAGAATTGTCTATTTTGAAAAGTTTAACAAAATCTAAAGCTTCCTGGTATAGCCAAACTTTTATGGTGTAGGCATTTTCAGTATTCATTCATTCTAACTCTCATTTTCTATGCCATATCTCTGAATGGCAAACTGCTGGAATCATTTAAGAAGAGGTGTGTCCACCTAGTGAGGAGATTATTTGCATTTCTTCCTTTTTACGACAGTTGATTCATTGATTCATATAGTTTAAGGATATTTTTTCTTTCTCTTGGTGTTATTGAAAGAGTATCTGGGATAATTTCACATTTGATTATGTATCTTTCATCTTCATAGTTGGATTTCTATCTATATCATTCAGTTTAATTTTATAATTCAAGTTAAGTTGTTAACTTTCCCTTACTTCTTTAACGATAAACTTCATCCACACAAATAGTAACAGAAGAACAAAAACATAAGCATCATACAAAACTTGGTAATTTTGAAATTAAACAGATAAGTTAAAATGTATTCATGTGCATTAAATCTTTTCATTTCCAAATTCTCATGCATTATAGTGCAGTGTTGTTGTTCACAATGCAATCTATATGGATAAAAGAGAAAAAGAATTACATTCATTTCCCATAGGTGTAATCCCTTACTATTTTGCATAAATTGCTATAGATACTTTCCTTTTTAATTAATTATTTATTTATTTGCATTATCAGCTATTTATTTGCATTATTAAAGATAACATGATCAGGACCTTATAAAAATTTAATTTCTTTTAATAATGAAGTTATCTTTTTTCTTGTTATAGCTAATAGTTGGCTATAAGGTTGATTTGGGCTGTAGATGGTTCTGTAGTTAAAAATAGGTGTTAGAAACTGAGTAAGTTTATTTGCTTTTAGGTTGCAGTTTTACTTCTTGATACACAAGGAGCTTTTGATAGTGCTTCAACAGTGAAAGATTGTGCTACTGTTTTTGCTTTGAGTACCATGATAAGCTCCATACAGGTAAATATTTTAATGGATACACTAGAGTAATACGCTATTTGGCCAAAAGTAACCAAATACTGACGTAAAGAAGTGTATCTAGTTGGTGTTTTACATGGTTTAGCCTGGGATCCTTAGTTCCTATGGTTGAAATACGCGATGTACAACGCGCAAAATAAAAAACTGGCAACCCTGAATAACTTTTGATTTAATGATTGGATCTTACCATTTTAGGACTCAATCTTAATGGTTTGAGGGGGGGGGGCGCAAATATGCAGACAATATTTTAAGTTACGAAATCAGACACAAAAATGTACTTTCTCTGAATAAACATACCTTTTGTTCACGGTTTTGGATTATTTACCTCTCAAAATATAGTGGGTGGCTGCAATCTGGGAATTATGGTCCTCATAGTTTGGTCAGGAGAGCAATCCGAAGTTTTTATTATTTTATTTAGTAATATTCAAAAAAAATTTTTAATTATAAGGTATAAATTTTTTAAAAGTTATTTTAAAGTATCTAATTTCACACAGCAAAATACAAAATTGGAGCGAAATCGATTGAATAGTTCCTGAGAAACCGAATTTTAAAAACTCTTATATTTAAAATTTGATTTCTCAGGAACTATTCACCAATTTTGCTCAAATTTTGTATTTTGCCTTGTAAAATTAGATACTAAGATTATGTAAAAATTTATGTACCTTACAATTCAAAAGTTTAAATACTGTTTTTAAATAAAATAATAAAACATATTGAATATTTACTAAAAATTTTTTTTGCATGGAATTATCTTCAGATAAACGAATTTTCTAATGGTTTGCAAAAGATTTTTCAATTCACTTAAAAAGTTCTTGAGATATGACGAAATATGCAAAAAATAAAATTAACATTAGGGGGTCCAAACTTAGGATACTCTCCTGACCAAACTGTGGGGACCATGTTTGGGCGATTGCAGCTACCCCTTATACTTTGGGGGTCGAAAATCCATATCCATAAAAAACGCATGTTTATTCAGAAAAAGTACTTTTTAGAGTTTGATTTCTTAACCTAAAATGTCATATGCACTAATTAATAACATATTTGAGGTCATCCCCTTGAGCTATTAAGATCTAGTCCTAGAATGTGAAGATCTAATCATTAGATCCAAAGTTGTTTAGGGTGGTCCTTTTTTTGTCGCACTGTATATGGTCATTCTGGAAAGTGTTGTTCTCCCATCACTTTGGCAATATTTCAGGGAAAGTCCATCTCTTTTCTAGTAGGATAACTGTTCTATTCTCACCCATCATGTCTTGCACAATCATTTTTTGACAAAATGAGTATTCTAAAACTGGACTGGCTTTCTCAGAGTCATAATCTAGATCCCATTGAATATCATTGGGAAGAATTACAATGTATATTATGTAGCCAGCTAAATCAACCATCCTCACTCACTTCAGTCGTGATGGATGGAAGTCAATTCTTAGGACCATTTATCGAAAAATGGTGGTATTGAAAAATCTCTCCCAGATCTATCCTGACTAGACTGCTGTCAAATTTGCAAAAGGGGGAACAACATCATATTAATTACAAGGCTCAGGATTTCTTGAGTCCATTCCATAGAGTGTTCAGATTCTTTTGGCCAAATACTGTATCTCAAAACAAAGTTATAATATCTAGTTTAATATTTCTTTGATCTCTGATAGATAGCCATGATTCCCATTAGGTCAAAGAATCCTGGAATTGTCGGTAAAATTTATTTTGGTTAAAAGTCAGGGAATAATGCATTTGTTAACCAATACAACCAAACTTAAATTCATAGTAATACTAATTAGTCAACAAGACTTAAAATAATTAATATATATTAAGATTTTTTTATGTAAATTATGCTGCAACTATTGATTGAAATTAAGATATTAACGTGCTCACAATTCTCTTTATTTAAAAATGTCTTGTTTCAAATTTTTCTTAAATTTAATCATGTTTGCATGCTCTATCCATCTATAATTTATATATTTGTTTATTATAAAATATGAATGTTAAACCTTCACCTAGTAAAAATTTGACTCTTACAAAATGCGATCTTCACAATTTTCTCTAAAAAAGTAAGTTTCATTTCTTATTGAACAAATAATATATTTCTAATGAAATATTGCCATGTACAGCAAAATGTTGTCTGGAATTTTATTCACTTTTTTCTGAATAATTTGGATAAGACATATATTGTTATTTCTTAAATTGTGTTATCTGATAAGTTGAGGTAGCTGCATTTAGGTAGTAATACCTATTTTTACTAATCTTCACAATTGAATGTTTGTACACTTTGAAAATGTAACTTTTAAAGTTTGTCCAATTATTGAATGATTTTGATTTTCAGCATTCCCTTAGTAACTGGGTGTTGGGTAATCTTTCCTTTTATTTCATGAATACTTTATTAAGTAACACTTAATAAACTATGGAAACTTTAAAAAAACATTCAAAATTTCTTTATTTAAATAATGCTTGCAACATTTTTATTTGCTTGTTAATGATTGATTTGTTGTTTATATGTTATGGATATAAGAACTCCTGTTTCTTATAATATAATAACAATAATAATTTATTTGCCAGTTTTATGTTTCTGACTAACAAGAAATTTATTTGTTTTAACATGGGCATCTTCATTTTTTTAAAAAGAGATATGCATGTTTATTTTGACCTAAGTAAAATAAAATTATGTAGTGTGTGGTGATTCTTAAAATCTGTAAGTTCTTAAATCAAACAGTGTTCAAAGAACTTCAAAAGCAAATATGTTTTATTATTAATTCTTAATTTTTTTACACATTTTCTTTCAGTTCTTAAAATATCATTATTTTTGATGTTGAACCGAATAATTATATTTTCTATTGTACAAATAATGATAATGTCAATGTCCTTCTGGCAAAAAACAGTGCAACACAACAGTGTAGTTGCATATTGTGGTAGATTGAATTAATTGCTGAGGGATTTTTCCTTGTTTTTCTCATGTTTTCGTCAATTTGCAATTGATTTCAGTTTTTTTAAATTTTCATTTATTTTTATATCTGTTATTCAGTCTTTTATTTATCTTTTTTTCCTTTTCTATTTACTGATGCAATTCTGATATTGCTTTTTATTAGCATTTTTATAATGCCTGACTCTTTTTCTGGAAAATACAATTATATGGAAAACAGGAATATTTTGATGTAAAGGAATTGAAGCAGATGGTAATGACTTAAGAATAAAACAAAAATGTTTTTATTTCTTATATTTTTTACCACTTTTCAATTTCATCTTTTATCTATTTTTCATGGTTGCTATCATTCTAACTTTATTTATTTTTATTATTTTTTTATGCATTAATCATATAGTTTTTCCTTTTTTTAATTTTTTCTATAAGAGTGATTCTAATATACTTTCTTTTATGGCATTCTCATCATGATTCACGGTGGAAGCACTTATTTTAAAAAATACACTATAATGCAAAAGAGAACATTTCAGTGTTAAAAAATTGAAACAGATGGTAATAACAAATGGGGAGTAAATTAACAAAAATTTTTTTTTAAAATGCTTATCTCTCTTTTTTTTTCCACTTCGCAATTTCATTTTTTAATAGCTATCAATCCGATATTCATCTTTGATATTTTTATGGAAATCTAGAGTCATTTTTGTTATCTTTTATTGTTATTATTTTTTTTATAAGCAACGACTCTGTTAAACCTTTTTTTCACCTGAAAGAAATCTGTTTCTTCCAGGGTGCTGGGAGAAACTAGACAAAGTGGAAAAAAGCAATAAACGAAATTAAATACTGAAAACGGCCAATATAATTGCTTAGCTATAATTATTGTAAGAACAGGAATAGTTTAAATTTAAGTTCAGTATTCTCAGTGTCGCAAACATAATGAAATTTGTCATGACCTTCTATAGTGTGCTAAGAGAAAGGGATGCACTTGCCTTTCAGAACAATTCCTCGAGCTCATTCATTGTTTTGGTTGACAGTCTTTCAATGAACTCCAAAAAAAGTAATCTCAAGGGCTAGCTTAAGATCAGGCTAGTATGATCACTTCATGCCTGCTCGAATAACTTTGAAATAATTTAGTGCAGTCACTCTATTCCCAAAATATTCTTTCAGGAAGTAAAACACCTGTTCCGTGCAATGTGGGTTGTGCCTCATTTTGCATGAAATATTCAATTGAAACTCCAAATTTCTCAATGCAATGTCTTTTATAGATATTTAATTATGAAGAATTAACTTGATTTTTATTAGTAAATGATAAATAAGCATAAGTGAGTGGTATCAAATTATATTCACCTTGGCAATTCAAGTTTATCAGCAATAATCTGAAATAACAGATCCTGTTTGTATGGCTGTAGGTTTTTTTCTTTAAAAAAAATTGAATTGTAATAAGATTTTCATACTTTGATCTTCACACACTCATAATATTTTTATATCTTTTAATAGTAACTAATTCAGTTTATAATATTATTTATCTTGCAAAATATGCGTTTTTCTTAAAGAGAATGCCTTTTTTTCATTTTCATAAGTTCATCATGTGATTCTACAAAATCTGGCGAACATCTGTTTGGTAATTGGTGCTATTAAAGTGGAACCCTTTCCTTTATATGGTATGCTAAGAATTTAATTTTTAGTTTAGAATACTCTAAGTGTGTGAAACTTATTCTGATTATATTCAAGCAGCTACTTATATAAAAGGTTTTATTTGCTTTCATTTATTTTGTTAGACTGATTCTATATTATATCAAGAGCCAAACAAGTTTATAACAAGAACCAAATGACTGAGCTAATTCGTTTGTTAAATCTGAGTCAGCCAACATTATCAAAAAACAGAACTTATAATAAACTATAAACTGTTTAAAATCGAGTTACATTATTTTGTTTATGCAGTTCAAAAAAATGAGTAAGATTTATAGTTTGAAAACTAACTAAATTTCACATCTATACAAAAAATACATAATCCAACTAATAATTCATCCCTATTTGGTTTAAATGTGTGGCCTTTCAGTGAGCAATTCAATTGTATTTATGCTAATGGACATCAGTGACAAGTAAACTGTGGGACAGCATTTTTCTGATGAATTGTGAAATTATAAAAAAATTTAGGAGAAAATATATTTTTCTAATAACTTGAATCTATAGTTGCAAAAATTTGAACAATATATCAACAATATTGTACTTTATAGTGAAAATTTCCTTTGAATATCTGGCTTTAATGTTGGGGACAGGGTCTGAAGTGACATTTTACACATTGAAATTGAGCTGTTAAGTCATAATGATTATGATAATATGAATTTGATACTTATAAGAATGTATATTTGGGGGATTAGTTATTTTTAAAATAGAAAAACAATTTTAAGAAAAATAAATTGAATAAGAGTAAAGGACACAAATACCACTCTTTCTTTATATATATTCATAAATATATATAAAGACATTTATACATAAGACTTTTTATACATACATAAATACACACACAAACATATTTATATATTTTCTAATGAAACTTTTTTTACTACTAAATACACTGAAAGTGTTCTTCTATTTCTATAATTTTAGAAGCTTTTTAATTACGTAAAACCTTTAGAATTAAAAACACTTCTTAAATTGTGGTTTAAACATTAAGTGAACACTATAACCGCTCTGTTGAAAAATCACAGAAACACTATTTTTAAGAGTTATTTTTACAAATGCATGATAGGAGGCATTGTATAACTTTAATTATGCATGGATTTATTGTGCATTTTAATGTATTGCATGAGTTATTTAACCTCTTTAAAAATATATTTTATAAAAATTTAATCAAAGTATCTTAATTTTGTCACTGTAATATTTATTTGTACAATATTTGTTTAAAAGTGATAGTTTATCCCAATTTACTCAAATTTAAGTGACAAATTTCTGTTTTAAGAAGACCATGAGTGTATGTTTCCTTACATAAAAAACCTCCTTAAAGCCTTGATACGTTGTTGAAGGAAGTCAAGGATTTTGTTTTTATTCCATTCATTCTTTTATCAATTTATTGTTATAATGTACACTGATTGTAACGTAGGCAATCTTTGTCAAAGATTTTATTATCTCACTATAATTAAGATATAAATATGGTCAGTTACTGACTGAAAATATAGAGATGAGAATGTTGTATCTTGGACCATTGTGAATTTTTGCATTCCATAGTAAAGAAAGTCTGCACTCCATTTATGTACGTGATACATGTAATAACAGGTACTATCTGCTGTGCTTTGGACAAATTCAGGTTTTTCAGACTGGTGATAAAAAGGTTTATTGATTTTGTAGTCACTAAGTAATTTTTCCCAATCAATTTAATTGGAAAAATAAACTCTATAGTACTTAAATTTAAAATCAAAACTAAGGTGGGTAAGTGCCAAAATATCATTCTCTTAAAGGGCTAGACTTGAAAATTTATGTGGTGGCCAGTAAAGGTAAAAAGGTAAATTTATTGGTAGGTCCGTTTTTCTTTCCACTTTTGGCTTTAAAAATACAGAATTGTACCTTTGATTAAGCTAAAGATGCTTCTCAACATTAGTTAGCAAAATTATAATTCGCTATAGACTTCGCCACATATATGATGTAAAATTTCTATGTTCTTAGTAAATCTACAAATTTATGAAATATTCCTGTAAAATATTATTTAATATTGCTTTTATGATTAATTTGATTTATACAGGTACTACAAAATAATTTATGCAGGTTTGTTAATACAGGCTACTTCAAAACTTAATTAAAAATAAGTTTTGATTGCATTAATATTCAAATTTCAGCAACTTTTAAGTTTAGTGAACAAGCATGCAAACTAGTGTTATAGTAGTACAACACCATGTTGACCTTTGGAGTAATTTCGTTTTAACTATATGATATTATATTATATTTCTCTTAATATTTCTAAGTTATTCGAATTATTACATTCTGCGTTTAAAAAATAAAAAATCAATATGGATCCAAGGTATAACTTTCTTAATGTTGGAGTATTGTAATCTTAATTGTTTGCATTGTCTTTGTAAGTCTGAAATTTTACGACAAGTTATATCTAATTAAAAATAATGAACCAACTCTGGACTTGATTATAAATATTAAAATATCATTTAAAGTTGTGAGGAATGTCTCTTTCATATCAAAATTATATGACACTGACTCCTCATTGGACAAATTGCTTAGAACTAAAAATTTTATTTTTGTATCAAAATCCGTACAAACCGGCTCCGGATAACATTATGAAACTTACTATAGTATAGAAAGTAAAAATTTTCAGTAACTATGAAAGAATAAAAATTCAAGATGCAATTGCTAATGTAATTAATTAAAAATTTATAATTAAGTCCTGATATTTTAAACTAATCGAAAATGATTTTAATCATAAACTATATTGTTTTTAGCATTATTTTTGTTGTCAAATTTTTAAAAAGTAATAATTAGTGATAGAAACATAGGATTTTTATTTATAATTGATCGAAAAATTCTTAAATTTATACAGGTGTATAATCTTCCTCAAAACATCCAAGAAAATGATCTGCAACACTTACAGGTAAATTTCTCGCAGATTTCTGTCTAGTCTGTTTTTGATAATTTTTATGTTTAGATGGCATATGGCAGTTTTTAAATCTATAATCGATACATTTAAATTATATAATAACTTTTATTGTAATTAAACACAGCATTAAATTGATACTGCACTTAATAATATTTTATGACTAGCTTTTTACAGAATATGGAAGATTGGCTCTTGAAGATACTAGGGAACGTCCTTTCCAGGTAATTTTTTAGTTTAAAAACCTATAATAGTATTTTAAAAATTTTAGTTTTCGTAACATATTTTTTTAAATAAAGTTTTTTTTTATTTGTTTAATTTATTTAAATATCTTAAATGATTATTTTAAATGAAACTATAATTGAATAAAATTAGTAAATATAAAAATCAGTAATACAGTTTATTAAGAAATGTCCAGTAATACAGTTTATTAAAAATCAATATATCAGTTTATTAGGAAATGTCCTCTTAAAGTAATTGTTTTAGTTAAAAAAAACCATTAATAGTGCTTTATTAATTATAATTTCTGTAGCTTTATGTTTTAAAAAATGATTTTTTTTTTGTTTAATTTTTTTTTCGTAGGAGAGATACACTGAAGAAATGCAAATTTCTCAATTTATCATTTGAAATGAAACAACAATAATTGAAATTAAATTTAAAAAAGAACAAAAATATCTATTTCTACTCATAACTAAATAATATTGCAAATTCTGTAACAATATTCTTATTTTTTAGAAACTCCTTTTTCTTGTTCGTGATTGGAGTTACCCATATGAGGCAAGTTATGGATTACAAGGTGGAAGGAAAATTCTTGAGAAACGACTTATTGTAAGTTACTTTCATCTCTAACCTGTTAACTGTAATCTTCGCATTTTCTCTATACATACTTTGAAATTCTTTTATTTTTGTTACAAGTAGCAAAATTGAAAGGTAGGCATTTTACTTTCATAATTTTTTTTAAACCAGTACAGTATGGGACCCCTAATCCGGCATCCCGAAATTCGGCACTTAATCCTACCTAATTTTTTAAAAAATTTTTTTTTAAGAAATTTTTATTGATATGAGAAAAAAAAATCGGTCATACTCTCTTTTTATTTAGAATTTTTTCTCTTGAAGTAAGTAACTATATTTTATCGTTTAAAAATTTAAAAAAAAGCGTGAAAAAATAAATAAATCTGTGTCAAACAAAACATCTGTTCCTAAAGCAGTTTAAAATAAAGTAAAAGTGAAAAGTAAAAACATCTGCATTTCCAATGAACAAAATAAAGAAATGCAAGTTGGGAGCAACTGATCAATCAATCTTGACAGCTGTGCAAGTGCTTTACTGGTTTGTCCCCACATTTCCCTCTCCTGTTTGACCATAAATTGGCCACACCCTGTTGACATTGAAACTACCATGTGGTGTACAAAATGAATTCTATCTCTTTTGCTTTTTTTATTCGATTTATTAATTTTTTTATTGGTTATTAGCTGTTACTTTTTTTTGTTAATTGTGAACTTGTTTTTTTTAATCCTTATTAGTTGTTTGCTTCTTTTTTGTAGTTATTCGTTGTTAGTTTCTTAGCATTAATTGTTTTTTTGCAGTTTCTTGGTAGCTTTCTTTTTTTTCTTGCGAGGTGAGCGTCTTTTGTTAAAACAAAATGTTATGTAAAGAAAAAATGAGAACAATGATCTTGCGCTGAAGAAAAAACGATAATTTCTTTTTCGGAGGACTCGGATTATTTCATCTTGAATTATTTCTCCTTGATTATATTATATAGATTATTATTTTAATTACCGTATTTTTCGGCGGAAGAGCCGCGGCGCTATCGAAAAAAAAGTTGTTTTTTTCCTACATGCGGCGCTTCCGACGAAATATTTTTTTTGTAGCAAAAAAATTTGTCCAGGAAAGTTATTTAAGAAATAATTTTCTGAGATAAAGACTATTAAAAAAAATTAATAACGAAGTCGACGAAATATTCGCCCGTATCGTGATCTGCTGCAGAACATCGCCAATTCTTAGCAAACTTTCGGCAGCAGCCTGTAAGAAAATAAATAAACGAAATAATAATTTTAAAAAAACATCGCATAAGGAGAAAATTTAAAAGGTATGCATCTTGTATCCACCCCCAGCTTAAGGAAAAATCGCAAGCTAGAAATCTATTTAGTGCCTTAGCAATTGTAATTTAAGCGAACAGAAAAGGAAGAATAGGACCCTAAATCCGACACTCACGGGACTGACGAAATGCCGAACTTCGGATCTCTTTCGGAAATTCCAATATGGCCCCCAAATATTACTATAATTCAATTCCACTGATAATTTCAGTAAAACCAATAAATTTAGTCAAGTTTCGATCATAGATTATGATGGGGTGAATTTAAAACTGGCTCATCATAAGAGAAATTTTACTAATCAAAATAATAATCTATATAATATAATCAAGAAGAAATAATCAGAATCCTTTGAGGAAGAAATAATCGTTTCTTCTTTGGAGCAAGATCATAGTTCTCGTTTTTTCTTTTAGATAACATTTTGTTTTAACAAAAGACGCTTACCTCGCAAGAAAAAAAAAAAAAAGCTAACAGGGAACTACCAAATTTTTTTTTTTAAACTAAATGCTAAGAAACTAACAATGAATAACAACAAAAAACAAGCTAAAAACTAATAACGATAAAAAAAAAGCAAGCAAGCAACAATTAACAAGAAAAAATAAAAAGCGGCAAAATAAAAAAATTTAATGAATCAAATAAAAAATCGCGAAAAGGGATAAATTCATTTTATTGTCCATGTGGTAGTTTTAATGTCAACTGGGTGTGGCCAATTTATGGTCAAACAGAGGAGGGAAATTCGGGGGCAAATCAGTAAAGCACAGCTGTCAAGATTGATTGATCAGTTTTTTCCAACTTCCATTTCTTTATTTTGTTCATTGGAAATGGGGATGTTTTTTCTTCTCACTTTATTTTAAACTGCTTTAGAAACAGATGTTTCCTTTGATACAGATTTATTATTATTTTTTTCTTCAGGCTTCGTTTTTATTTTTAAAAGATAAAATAAAGTAAGTTACTTCAACAGAATAAAATTCAAAATAAAAAGAATATAGCTGATTTTTTTTGTCTTAACAATATAAATTTCTTAAAAGAAAAAACGAAAAAGATTAGAAGTCAAGGTCACCTTGATTGGAATGTACACTCACTGATAAGAATGTGAGAAAAATTTAGGGTGTGGTGGGAGAGTTGAATGTAAAAGATTGAGCAGAAAAGAAAGACGGTGCTTAGAATTTTCTTGAGTACCGTTTATCGGCCCCCCTCTATATCACGCCGATTTTCGTCAAAATTAAGGGGGGCGCTTTATCGGTATTTTACGGTA